CTGAGCTGCCGTGTTGCCTCGGGGATCCCGGGACTCGTGGGTCGACACGGGCCGGGTCGCGTTCGCTCGCCTGGGCCGTCCAACTGCTTGAGATAAACTACAAGACGCCCTCGTAGATTAGGATTCCCAAGAGCTAATGATTTTTGTTTTACGTATGTCCCAGATATTGCAGTGACATGCTTGAAACACGTATCCCTTGTTTACCTGAAATTCTAATTTATCCGGCGTCCCGTATTTTTACGTTCAACTTGGCCACCCGACCGCAGGACGTGGAGACGACGATTCCTGCCAAATGGCCAAGGCTTTGAGGATAGGGACCGTGAGTAATGCTGCTGTCGCCTGTGGCTAGGTCGAGGACTGTGCTTTCCTCGCACGTTCTGCTTTCGAAGACCCGCGGCTGGAGGACACAGGGCCCGGGCCACTGCTGTGACCGCCCACGCCCAGCTCGCTTCTCCACGTCCGCCACCGCGCTGTCCCTTGACGGGAAGGGTGTCTCTGCCTATCCACTTGATCTGGGTGCTCTTACCAGTTTTGTAAGACTTTAGGAACTCTTGACTAGCTTTCAGATCTCGTGTTAACTAATTGACTGACAAATCCTTGAGGCTCTGCAGTGTTGTTCTGGTATGTGTCCCTGGGCATATGGCACTTAGTGTACTTAGCACAAACATAAATGTAGCATGACTAGTTGGTGCTTCATCAGTGTTGAAATCAAATGTTTCTTGTGCACTTCCTCCGTGGATGTGTCTTTTCTTTATAGGTGACAGCTTTTACCAAAGTCAACTCGAAATTGAAGGGAAAGGGTGCCTTCCAGAAACTCATTTTAGTTGGCAGGGAAGAGGATAATATTTCAGATTGCACCTCCTACCTCCTCTTACTACCCAAGAAAACATTCTTTTATGAAAGTTCTGCTGGTCTTGCTTCAAGAGTAAATGCTGTGGTAGCTGGTTTGGGGATGGCAGTTAAATGCTGGACTTGAGATGAAAAGGACTGGTTTTCTTAGTTGGTAAACCAAATACAGATTGCGATTTATTCCACCAGCGCTCTTCCTTAGGTCCAGGTCAGCCCTGCCGGGTCTTTTCTTTACCAATTTAGGCTTCAGGAACTCAGCTTGTTTTTTTCTTAGAGGCGCACTTTCCCCCGAAGGTGGTTGCAGTCTCCTTAGCTCACTACTCCTAACCCCTTCCTGAGTTAAGCACTGGGACCTTTTTTGTTTGTTTGTTTTGGGGGTTTCCTTGCTAATCTATTGGGAAGCAAGGACTACTAGATTGTAAACGTTGAGTAGTTACGATGTTTAACTGCAGTACCGCTGTCTTACTGTCTTGTTATAACTGAAGGTGATGGTTGTTACAGCTTCCTTATTCTAAGTGTGCTGGTAGTGCTATATAGTAGTCTCCCCTCATCCTTTAGGATATGTTTCAAGACCTGGGTGAATGCTTGAGACCACGGTAGTACTGAACTCTATATTTGCTATGCTTTTTCCTAAGCATACATACCCATGATGTTTAATTTATAAATTATACAGAGTAAGAGATTCACCACTGTAACTAAGAATAAAATAGAACAATTGCTTTAATAATAAGACACTCGTTGGAAGAGGTCCCCTCCTGAATCTTCATGTAGACTCAGTGTTTTGTGGTGTAACACATTGCTGTCCATCAGAACAAGTTTTCTGTTCATTTCTCCACAATGCCTTTTATGTCTTGACTAAACACTTATCGCACACTGTGGCTGTAACTTGCAGTTTGAGGCACAACAGCAAAACTAGCACAGATTTCTTTTTTCTTTTTCATAATTTCATGTTTCGAAGATTTGTTCTTATTGCAGATCTTAGCAATGTCAGCATATGATTTTATTTTTTTCCTTATTAAATGGAGAACTTTCATTCTGAAACTTAAAGGAAACAATTTGGGATATCCAAATTGCCAGCATCATTACTCTTGCTCTTTGGGGCCATTATTAAGTAAAATTAGTAAGGGTGACTCGGACACAAGCACCACAATACCATGACAGTCCATCTGATCACTGAGATGGCTACTAAGAGACCAGTGGGCTACTAAGTGACTAGTGGGTGACTAGTGTTTACAGTGTGAGTATGCTGGACAAAGGGAGGTTTCACACCTCTGGTGAAAATGAGTGAGACTGGTTGAAATGTCATCATGCTCCTCAGAACTTAAACTTATGAATTGTTTATTTCTTGAATTTTCCACTTAATATTTTTGGACTATGGTTGACTAAGGTACTGAAACTGTGCATAAGGGGGGACTACTGTATAGAGTGGATTCTCATCATCCAGGGATATCTTGTGCTGGAAAAAGCCATTTTGAGTGGATTCACTTAAAATGAAACTCAAATTTCATGCTATACAGTTAAAAAAGTTTTGTTGGGACCTTTGAAAAAATGAAACAACATTTTAAAAAGGAGCTTAACTTTTATATTTAAGAATATTTGAATTTTAAGTGCATTCACCAATGAATAAAATATTGATTTGGAGGAAGAACATTTGAGTTTTGCAACATAGTCTTAAGGATAATATTTTAAAAATTATATGAAGATTCAAATCTTTACTTTCTTTTTCCTTAGGTATTCGAGTAATTCTCTTTTGAAACATCTGTTATATCTCAGAATCCTGTTGAAAAATTTGTAATTTCATTGTGCAGTTAGTTTGTGTCATGGTGTTTGATGTCATTCCAGCAATGCATTATGGCCTGACTGACCAAGAAAGACGAGTAGATGGGGAAAGAAAGGTTCCAGGGATAAACAACGAGATTTTATGTTAAGCTGGTCTTTTTTCTTTCTTCCTTTTTTTTTTTTAGTCCAAGTTTCACTCTGTCACCCAAGTTGGAGTGCAATGGTGTAATCATGACTTATCTCAACCTCGACCTCCTGGGCCCTCAAGCAATCCTCCTGCCTCAGCTTCCCAAGTAGTTGGGACTACAGGCATGCACTACCACACCTGGCTAATTTTTAAAATTTTTCTTTTGTTGAGATGAGATCTCACTGTGTTGCCCAGGCTTGTCTCGAATTTCTGAGCTTAAGCAGTCCTCCCTCCTCAGCCTCCCAAAGTGCTGAGATTATAGTCATGGACCACTGCATTCGGCCATTGTTGATTTTTTTAGTAAATATTTTCCTAACAATACCTCCTTTTACAAGCTATCAACAGCTAGGTTCTGGATAATAAATACTGAGATAATGAGGGGTCCTGTAATCAGGAAATAATAGTAGTAATGTCAAGTGTTATTGAATATTTACTATGTGTAAAGCACTGTTCTGCTTTCTGTATATCAATTCATTTAATCCTTACAAAATGCTTTAAGAAGTGGGAGTAGGCCTGGCTTGGTGGCTCAGCCTATAATCCGCACCTTTGGGAGGCTGAGGCGAGTGGATTGCCTGAGCCCGCGGGTTCGAGACCCGCCTGGGCAGCGAGACCTCATCTCTACAATAAATCAAAAAATCAGCCGGGCATGGTAGCGCACGCCTGTAGTTCCGGCT